GCAAAAACTACAGGGAAATTGGTTAGTTAAAAGTGCCTGAGAACGTGTTTGGCAGAGTTCTGATTGAATGGGTACAAGAAGTGACCATGAGCAAAATTTGGGAAGTGAAAACACTTTTATGCAAGCAGGGGATGTTCAGATCAGATTTTTGCTCTTCAGCAAACCATTGAGGAATATATGAATTCAAGAAAAAAACTTATTGTATGTTTGTTGGTTTATAGAAAGCATATGATAAAAGTAATAGACTTGAATTATGGAATGTTTTGCACAAATATAGAGTGGGTTGCTAAATGCAATGAGCAGTATGTGGTGGAAGTAAAGCATTGTAAGAATAAATGATCGCTTAGCAAATAGTTCACGGAAAAAACTCTTTTTCATGAAAATGATTACAGTAGAGATGACAATCAAAGCATATGAGTACATTAAAACTGCTAAAGTTCAAGATTGAGATTTTGCAATAAAATATATATGCACCATTTTTCTTTTTTCCTTTTCCCCTCATGGAGCTGGACTGTTTCCTCCTCTTTGTCTTCATCCTTAGTGAATAGTTCAGCACTGAGCAGGGAAAAATACAAGGATGTGTCATGCCCACTTAGTTGTTTAATACCTTTAACGTATATGGAATGGTTATAGTGACTTTAGAGCTGTGTTGGTTGTGAACATGAAGTGTATTTGGTAAAATAAGAAAAAACAGAGTCAAAAGTGGGGAATGAATCATGTGGACTGAAGTATGCTGAAGTTGTTTGAAAAGTACAAAAGGCAATGTACGCAGAGATATATAGATGTGGTGGAAGCAAGGATAATTTGTAAGAATAGAAAAGCATGGAGAGGTATAGTGAATGGAATTGGTATAAACTAGTTTTTGCTATGTTTCCTTTTTCTTCTCAGAACTTTCATTTATTTGGTTTAATCTCCTTTTAATCTATTTTGATTATAAAATCAAATTGGGATGGGAACTTTTTTTGGCGTGTGGAGAAAATTGTTATTGTACCTTTCAAAGGTCACAGTAAATAGGACAGTGATGCTGTTCACATCAACATAACAGGAAGATTTTAGCAATTTTTTCCTAAATTATTGGATTTTTTAAAAATGATGGCTTAATAAACATACTTCATTTTCCAACAAAACCAGCTGGAAAGCAAACCATTATTATTTAGTAGTTTGCTTCTGGATTTTAGTACATGGATCTTGTGGGGTTTTAGGGGCTACAAAAAGGGGTCTGGAGTCCATGGGTCACTTGTGGTCTATGGCTTCCTCATTCTGATATTGAAAGGGAGACTTTATTAAACTTTTTGGTGTATCTTCTTCAGTATTGAATGTAGCAAATGTTGAACATGGTTGAGCAAGCATGCTGGTTGAAGTCCTTAGGTTGCACTGAATGAACAGAATGTTTTAAAATTGGCTCATCTACATCCCAATAAAGAATCTGTTTCTTTTGGGGGGGGGGAAATGAAAAGGCTATCTTCTTTTGGGTCCTTTTAAGCTTTATTTTTCCCCTGGTTTAAATTAATCAGATTTCTGACTGTCTAATTTGGGAAAAGACAATCAGCTGAGACATCTAGCCTCCAAGAGTTCAGCAACAAGCAAATATTGTTACTACCAAATTGAGGTTCTTAGAAGGAACAACTGGGGGGCCACTGTTGCTGTCACTGTTCCCAAATATTTACTACGAGAAGCTGCCATGTCATTCTTCAGACCTATCTCTCTTCAGGCCTCTAAGTTCTCCCATTTTTATGCTAAGCCCTGGCAGTATAGGAACATATGAAACCTCTTCATTTTACATAAAATATTCTCAACATAGAATTCTCTGTGCATTAACACAGTATCTGTTCATTTTAAAACATGGCATTGATAGATTAAAAAAAAATTAGACCAGTTGATACATCATCAGAGAGAGCAACTTTCAAAAAAAAAATACTGACTGTGGGTCGAGAGAGGACTGGCTTTGGCATCTTTACAGAATGCATTTGTGACTATGGCCTCAGCCATTTGTTTAACCAAACATACTGTATGCCTAAATACATTTTACCTGCTACTTCCCAGCTGAGGCCTGTCTCTAACAACTAGTGTATTTTGCAACAAGCTGCTCAACAGATGTCATTCTGGTTGAATAATACTTGTGCGTTGGCTAACATTCCTCAAACTTTGATCACCTTAGTTCAGCACATCAGTCTGGCATTGTGCTTTATACCAACATAACACTATAACTAGAAATGCCTTTCAGGCTTAGAATAGCAAAGGAATGTTATTGAAATCAGTGGAGTTACAGATGAATGAATGGAAAAAGGAGAATACTGTTTATTTCATAATGCTGTGGTGTTATGTTTTGGAATTAGGATGGAATGTAAGGAATCCAGTTTCCAGATTTTAGTTATTTTTACTTCACTGGTATTGAAGAACAGTATTTATTTACCTCTTATTGCTGTTTTAGTAGATTTTCTTATATGGCTAACATGTTGGTTTCTTAGATATAGCAGACTCCCTGCCTTCATAGTATGTGTCTTAATTATTAAATAATATTAATTTCTGTAATAAATAAAATAGGAAAATTATTTTGAATGCCCTTTATTTCTGGGCATGCTGACACTATTTTTAGAAAACACATCATAGTACTGAATTTTGTTATGTCAGTTATAATGTTGCCTCCTAACATGGAAAAGAAACCTTTTTAAAAAATGTTCTTAACTGTTTAGGGAGCTCATCCTTATCCTCTGCAGGTTGATAGAGAGCATACTATATCCTACACTAGTTAAAACACCCATTCTGAAATTGTTAGCTTGTAATCTAAAATGCAGAATATTGAAGATTTTCTTGGTCACCCTATGCATATATTATGTTGAGTGTGCATGTGTGTGTGTGTTGTGTGCATATAGAGTAATAACTTTTCCGGAGCTATGGTACAACACTGAACATATTTCTGGAACTGTATTATGAAATAATCAAGGAAAGTTTCAGTTGGTACACAAAAAACAATACTGAAATACAGTAATTCCTTACGAATCATTCTAAGCTTTTGCAACAAAAACAACTAAGAATCTTGTAGCACATTAGATAAAGCTACTATGGCATAAGCTTTCTTGAACTATAGTCCAGTTCAACAGGTGCATCACTTTCCAAAACAGCGGGGGGGGGGAGGGAGGGAGGAATGGATTACATATCAGCAATGAGTTAAAAATAAAATGTAAACCATACAGGCTATTATCATTATGTTAAAACCTTAATGTATATAAAATGATTAGCGACTGTAAGAGTTGGTTCTCAGACTGATAGAGATTTGTCTACTGCAAATGTCCCCATTATCAGTAAAGAGATCCTCTTCCTTACCAGTTCATCAGAAGGCTGTAAAAAAGAAAATCAGAAAGCCTCCAGTCTAATGTACATGGGGATATTAGTTCTAAACTGAAGAGTTCAGATGTGGGAATTACTGTAACCTCATTCCATCTATCAATAAATCTTACGAAAGAGAATTCTGTCAGAGGCATACTTATAAAAGAATCACTTTATTTTTAGGGAACAGCTAAATGGTTTGACAATGACCACTCACAGTCTAATAATTTGTTAGTCAAATAATACCTGTAGTGGAATAAAGTAATTGTGGTTCAGGCTATAGGTGAAAGAGCCAAACTTCTTGGTAAGTTAAAATCCAGTGATCTCATGTTAAAGTCTGCCTAATGAAGTGCTTTTATTCATCACTAGCCACTTTAAAGTAACAGGTGATAGTGTATATCCTATTGGAAGATGAACAAATGAAAATAACAATGTTGTGTTTGATTTTCTTAGATCCTGCAGTAGGGACAAAATTGGTTTTTGAATTTACTCTGGAATCTATATACAGCCTGTAGCAATGAGCACTTTTTTAGGTTTGAGGCTACTTATAAGGACAGACCTACCACTTTATACAAGTATGAGAGAGGAATATTGTCCTGAGTGGCTGTAAATAATAGATGACATAGTAGAATGCTTTCAAAGATTAAGAATCAAACTGAACATCTGATGACTTCATGAATACTTCCATGCAGTTTTCTTGGCAACAGTACGGAACTGTCTTCTTCTGGGATGCTCTTCAATTTCCCAGTCCAGCCTAGAGTCCTATTATTCCCTAATAGTCCCTCATCCAAGTATTAACAAAGTTTCCTGCTGGCCAGCCAACAGTTACCTATTGTGACAAATGCTTTAACTGTTGCTCTAACCATGGACTCTCTTCTAGGTCTGTTCCATAGTATGTTATTCCTGAATGCCAGTCTAGTCTTGTTAATTTATTTTTTACTTCATCAGATAGGTGTTGTAATCTAAGAAAAACAAATTGGAGCAGAGGCTTGAGCATAGATTAGGGATGGGGAACTTTTTCCAGCCAGTGGGCCAGATTCCTTTTTGGATTCCTTTCAAGGGCTACATGATGTTATTGCCCAGGTAGAAGCCCACAAAAAAATGACAGTCTGGCCACAAGGAGTAAACTCAGCCTCTTCTTCCACTGTAAGGTTACTGTTTTCTCTAAAATCATGTTTCCCAGTCTACCTTTCATTGATACTTCCTTAGAACTGTGAAAAATAGAAAGATTCTACTTCACTATTAAGATCTTTAGACTGAAAATACTGAATTTTGACCATTGATGTATGGTCTCTAACCTCTCTGATCACTTTTAAACAAAATTTACATACATATTTTTTATAAGGTAGCATTTCCTTCTTGAGGTACATTTTATGTTGTATTGCACCAGCTACATGTCCAAGCAATTTCATAGTACTAAAGTACTATGTTTAAAACATGATTGTCTGTAAAACATTTGGCGTGGAAGTAAGCAACTGAATTTTGATTCTAGCATTCATTAGAGGTCTTAATGATTGCTTTAAAAAAAAAATCACAATTTCTCAGCTTGAATGCCACATATATAAAACAGTAGTATTTAAATTACTGAACAGAAATGTTTGAGGTTATATAAAGTAATCATTTGCAGCCATTATTATTATATAAATCTCTATTTATTTATTTATTTTTGGCAGGTTAAGCGAAATGTGTATGACCTGACTAGTATCCCTGTTCGCCATCAGTTGTGGGAAGGCTGGCCTGCTTCTGCTACAGATGACTCAGTAAGTCACAATTACTTCAGCATTACTATTATTTGCAATTTTGTGTATAGCATGTTACAAAATAGTTGTGACACTTTTTTTTTTAAAGTTCACTTAGATTCTGAGGGCAAAGAAAGGCTGTTCACCGCAGTACATTTGGCAGAAGAGTGCCATACTGGTATTTTCAAGGAAAGTAGCTAGTCCTTGTATTGGATGTAGAACTGAAGCTTTTCATAAAAACAAACATAGACAAGGTTAATTGCAACCTCTGAAATATATTGGTGTGTTGTCATCTGTTGCTAGTTGAGTTTAGGCCAGAAAGGATTTGAAAACCCATGATTTCTAATCCAAATACCAGCAGCTGTTTGGAAAGAGGCCAACTAAACAAAAAGGAAAAGCTTTTCTGTATGATAGGATGTCCAGCTTGAATAAAACACACAAATCTATTTTAAACTCTATTTTAACAAGTGACAATGTTGCAGGTGATTTTCTTTTTCCTTTTCAAGTTTAATGAAATTGGTGATTGTTAAGTCATCTGCTTTTCAAGCAGATGAGTCCAGAAAGCTCCCGGCTTGAAACTACTGCAGCTGAGCCCCGTCAGCTGTGTAAACATTTCTGAATGTGTTACTCCCAAAAATATAATTAATTTTTATCTGAAATTAGAACCTCCAACTTAATATTTATGAAGATTTAATGTTAGTAATAACAGTCTGAACAAGTGCCCCTCCTTTGCTATTTATAAAGCCTGTTTCTAGTGTTAAGCGTTAGTTTCCCCTTTTTTAAAATTCCAGGCTTTTGGAAATAACTTCATTTTAATAGATGTCTCAGTGATAGTTCTTCAAGAGTATTAATCTAACTTCTAACAGTGAAAGAGTTAAAGACAGACTTGATTAGAATACTTTTCATTTACATTTCATACAGCATAAAAATACTTTGTTATACCACAGGAGGTTTTTTCAGTGCAGTTCTCGTTAACCTTTGCCTTAGCAAACAGGCAACTAAATAGACTTCCAATAATTAGATTCTGTGTAATCGAGCCTCCTATGAACCTAATAAGCTTCATTCTTCTGCATTAAATGCAGAAATGCATCAAAGTCAAGAGACTTTTTAAAAGCACTACTGCTCCTCCCTTTGGAGTGATAGCATGTTCTCTGCTTCCTATTTTTAGTCTAATAAAATATAGGATACTGTATGAGATGTCAATAATGACTTCTATTTTTTTTTTTATTTTTTTTTTTTTCACACTTGCAAAAAGAAAATCAGTAGGTAAAAGTGAGCCAGTAGGGAAATATTTTCATGCTGTGTCAGTTTAACTGTGAGAAACAAGGAGCCTGCAAAATTGTTAAAATGCCATTTTACACTTTAAGAATGGCTTTTTAGTTTCTATAGAATGTAAACATCACTAGCACTAGGAGTGTATAATTGCTTCATTTCATTATAACACAAGCACAGTGCCTGATTTCCACTTACTGGTTCAATTTTCAGATGAGCTATTTTGGAAAAAAAATATATTTGATGGGTGTTAGATGCTTTACTTGCCATGATTTTTGGTTGTACTATCTGCTATTGTCTGATGTTGTCAGCACATATGTGGTGGTTTATTTAGCTTTTTTACTTAAACCGTTATCTTGTGGAACATAATGTATCTTCTGATGATGAGACTTAAAATAGAAACACATTTTAAAAATTATTATTACCTTATGGGTAGTTAAAAGGAACAATTTACAGTTTTAAACAATTGGAAAAACACAAATTCCAGAAGGCTGTTTTCTTTTGCTCCTTTTCTCAGTTATATTTCTCAGGGGTTTTTTTCCCTAAATGAAAAAATTTGCTTGGCTGAACATTTCTACATTCTGTTTATGAAATAGACTTACCTTGTACACAATCAAGGGGAATTTCTACATTGAACATCATCCAGCAATATTTTACTTTTCGTAGACTGATAATTCTAATGCTTAGATTGAATAGGTAGGTCTTATTTTAACATCCTATTCTAACCTATTCTGACAGGTAACAAATAGAATTTTTTGCCATACTGATATTACTTAGAAGTACATATATAAAACAACTTAGACCCAATTACAGTTCCACATTGTAGACAGCAGACTCACAGAGGGAAGGGAGAGAGAAGGGTTATAGATCAAGGCCCTTTTTACTGAATTTTCCAGCAAATTGTGGCAATATTCAAACAGGCAGGGTATTATATTTAGTATTGCTCACTAACTCCACCATCTTTCTCGCTTGCCTACTTCTTCATCTTGGAATTTCTTTAGGGGTTAAAATTGTGACTTTTTCTCTCGTTCCTGTTCTTCTCTACCTCCAAGAAGGCACGTTCTGCAGAGAATGGAGAATAGATGGTGCTGCTGAATACCGTCTACTACTAGAACTTATTTACAGGATATGGGAAACCAACTGAAGTTATCAAAGATTTCAGGATGACAGGATTTATAGCTTTAAACAAAAATTTGGAATTTTAGAGCAGGAACGAGGTTTTCACTTGACATTTCAGCAGAAATGTTATAGGACACATACCTATATAACTTGAGAGTATGACTCTATTTTATAATACTTGCTTTAGATGTATAATAAATGTTGCATTTAATGGAATAGGAGAAATGTTCCAATTCAACAAATGCACTTAATGTTTCAAACTCGAGTTGTGTCATGTTTGCCTTATAGAAATCTCCATGCAGCATCATGTGCACTCCAGCAGAAAAATAAGAAATTATTTTCATATTACTAAATGACTGAAAATTGCCCCACCACAGTTGTTAAATTAATCAATGTATTCCAGACCTAAGAATGCAGTTAAATGCTTGGTCTAGAAGTTTTGAACATTCAAAATTAATCACACTTGATATTGTTAAGTGTAAATTTAGAAGCAGATATAATACTGATCACATCAGATTTCCTAGGAAGAAGATCTCTTTGGGAGCAAAAAAGAAGATAATCCAAATGGGGTAAATTTGCATATGTAGCCAAGAGATCCATGTTACTTTTCTGGGAGAGCGCATTGTCTGAAATAGAATGCTTTTCTATTGAAAAGGGACAAAGAAGAAAGAGAAAAACCTGGAACATAGTTTAATATAACAGAAGGAATAAATATGTTCCTCTTGATTATAAAAAAGAAGACTAACATATGGGTTTGGAATAAACATTAGAATTCCAATACTTTTCCTCTACTGGTCAAACAAAGGGATTAAACTCTTGTAGACATCTTACCTACTGTATATCTACCACTC